CCTCCTTCCTCCCTCCTTCCTCCCTCCTTCCTCCCTCCTTCCTCCCTTCCTCCCTTCCTTCTTCCTCCTCCTTCCTCCTTCCTCCTTCTTCCTCCTCCTTCCTCCTTCTTCCTCCTCCTTCCTCCTTCTTCCTCCTTCCTCCTTCCTCCTTCTTCCTCCTTCCTCCTTCTTCCTCCTTCCTCCTTCCTCCTTCCTCCTTCTTCCTCCTTCTTCCTCCTTCCTCCTTCTTCCTCCTTCTTCCTCCTTCCTCTTTTTTTTTAAGGAATCATCTCCTGTGTGTTTAATGGGATACATCCCTGGGGTGGGGACTTTGCTTTCTTCCCTTAAAAAAAATTACTATTGAAACAAACAGTATTTTTTTCCCCTAAAGAAAGAGGCAACTCTGTGATCCCTAATGCTTTTCCTCCAAGGATACTCCCACAAAATGAAGTAATAGTGGTGGGGTGATGTTAAGAAAAGCTATATAACTTATATTCACTATACGTAGTAGAATTGAGGGGACTAGAAACTGGGTAAGTCCTGCTTAAATCCATAACCCTATCCTCTAACACTTAAAAAAAATCAGTAGCACCTTCTCTGAGTATTGGAATACTCACCCTTTTCACAGACTGGTGCCAACGGCTCCCATGCGCCTTGGGCAGTACATCGGATTGCCTTGCTGCCTTTCAGGGTGAAGCCATATGAGCAAGAAAATACCACAGTGTCATTATAGGAATATTGTTCTTTCTGTCCAGATGATATCTGGCCTCTTAGGATCTGGGGAGGTGGACACTGAACAGCAGAACTAGAAAGTTCACAGCTTGGGGCAGGGTCACTCCAGATCCCAGTCTTCTGACTGTTGGTGATACAACGGATAGTCTTCTTCCCAATAAGGTTGTAGCTCACTCCTTTCTCTGGGTCTGGGTCACAGGTGTAAGTGACTGTGCTTCCATATAGAATTTTCCCTAAAGAGCTTCCTGTATGTCTTCCATTGAGAATAGAAGGAGGTGGCGGGCACAGAATTTCTAGAGAAATTAGAGAGAAATGACATGACTGCAGTTATACTGCAAATGAAGAATGCCTCAAATGTTGCTGTACCACGGTGCCCTCCTAGGCTCAGGGACAGTGATACTTGAATCTGTAATATACAGATCAAGACAGCTATAGCAATATAATGTTAAAATTATGATTTAGAACTTTTTTCTTGAGTATATCTACTGGGGTGATCCTCTGATTTCTTCTACTGAATATACAATCCCCTTTTTGTGCCCCGCCTGGCTGGCAAGTCTACAGAGCTTTCAGAGAAAGAAGAGCCTAGGAACCCTTTTTCCCTTGAGTAACCAGGGAATAAGGAGGTGGCCGAAGGTTGCTTTAGTGAAAGACCATACTCCTCCAGATGTCTATGTGAGATCTCTGCTCTATCAAATTCTGTATAGTAATGACTAAACAAAAAGCTTTTAGTTAAGCCAAGAATGAAGTGTTCTGTTCAAGGACCAGGGTAGTCATTGCAAACCACAGTTTTCTAACCTACCTTTGCATACTGGCATTCTGGTCCAAGAAGCCTGCTGTCCAGCAATTACACATTGACTGGAAGGTTGGCCTTGTAACCAATACCTGGAGACAGAGGGGACTATTAAGCAGTAGCTGTTGCAGAGCAACGACCTCCACTTAAAATCCAAGGCAAATTCACATAACTGATGTGTATCAACCCCCTTCATAAGCATTCTCTCTCCCAGTCTCACCATAGGCTATCCCTGGATTCTCACAGAGGAGCCTTCAGCAGTTGTCACAGATCACACCATACACACATAAACCAGATGAACTAAATCTCCAAGGCCCTCCTGACACTCACCCTTCATTACAGTCAAAGTTCACAGTTGCACCGACCCGAAGACTTGGAGGGCTCTTTATCCGTCCATTGAGAAATGGTCCTGGGGGTTCACACTCTGCCTCTAAGGAAATAAGTCAAAGATAAGCAAAGTGTGGCAAATAACAGAATAGCCCAAATTCTGTTTTTAAAAATTTATTTATTTATTTATTTATTTGAGAGAGAGCATGCGCATGAGTTGGGGGGGCGGGAGGAGCCAAGAGGGAGAGAGAGAGAATCTTGAGCAGGCTCCACAATCAGCATGGAAACAAACTTGGGGCTCAATCTCACGACCCCGAGATCATGACTAGAGCTGAAATCAAGAGTCTGGGGCTTACCTGGCTGAGTCTGGGGCTTACCTTTTCAGGTGCCTCAGAAAAGTCCAAATTCTTTTTTTTAAAAGATTTTATTTATTTATTTGACACACAGATCGAGAGTGAGATCACAAGTAGGCAGAGAGGCAGGCACAGAGCAGAGAGCCAAGAAGAGAGCCTGACGTGGGGCTCGATCCTAAGACCCTGAGATCATGATCTGAGCTGAAGGCAGAGGCTTAACCCACTCGCCATCCAGGTGCCAAGAGTCCAAATTCTTAAAATCGGTTATAAATGTAGGTACCTTTACATGTGGGAATAACAGCACTCCACTTTCCTGAAGACAAACATCTAATGGTCTTTTCTCCAACAAGCAAGTAACCAGGTTCACAGCTATAAGTCACAGATAATCCTGGGGCAAAGGGGCCAAACCCCTCCCCTGTGTGAGATCCACTGGAGATGGTGGGAAGTGGCGGACACTCCTGGGGGAAATCTTCATGCACACACATTAGGAAAAAGGCCATCAGATGATTCATCCTTCACAATCTAGTTTTTTGACTTAACACAGATCCAAATATATGACATATGATCTATGATAACCAGTCATCATTAATTTTCAACTCAACTTTTTAAAGATCGGACATTAAGTGGCTTAAGTGTGGCTTAAGTATATGTGTTTTAAACCACAAATTGTACATTTTCATTTTTAGCTACATGAATTACATTTGCCTTTTAAAAAAATTTCAATTACCAAAAAAAGCTCATCTTCACTCATACTCTCCTCTTACCCATAGCCTATTCTCTGCACCAAAAGTAGCATATTACTATTTAGGGGGTCATCCTGCCAGACATTAGTAATATACCTTTTGGGGATCCTATATGTGATACATATATACACATATAGCACGTGTATGTTCATGTACTTAATACATATTACTCTGTGCCTTTTCTTTGCTTAATAATTGGTCTGTATTTTTCCATGTCAGTACATATAGATCTATCTAAATCTTTCTAAAGGTTTGTTTTCCATGGTCACCCCATTTTGTGACTCTCTTAAGACCTTCCCTACCTCCAAGATTATATACATGTTTATAGATAGATCCATATTTTTCTAATGATTTGACAGCCTTTTCAACTCAATTGATTTAGAACTGATCAATACTGTTTTTTATTAAGAAAACAGCTAATTTTGATGGTATAATCTTTGTCAAGTATATATATTGCCTGGCATATATATGTGTGTGTGTATATATATATATATATATATATATATATATATATGCATGCCAGTCCCTGTAATTGAATAATTGAAATTCAGTTTTAGGTTTCAACAACAACATAAACCAAACCAAATTATAAGAAAATGGTTTTCTTTTGGGAAAATGAAAATGAGTGGCTCCTATTTTCAAAGTTAATTGACCTGAAATGCTAGGACTTCCTAGGTGACTTGGACAATAGCGGACCACCTTAGAAAATATTCATAGAGGCTGCAGATAACAGGGCATCGTTTCTGCCAGGATAGCCCAACAACTATTCAAAGATGAGCTTTAAATCCCTTGGGTGTATTTTGCTATTAGATTTCACATTTCTTCTCAATTTAGCAATAACCCAGATATGTAATTTAAAACCATTTGATTGCCACATCCCAAACAACTCTGACCCCCAACCTTGTGAGGCTTATTCCATTCAGTTATCAGGTATGTTCAATCACATTTTCCCATTATTTTTTATTCTACTGATGTTTGTTAAATAAACATTTACATCCTTCTAGGACTAAGTAAAAACAAGAAACCATAATTTTCACCTTTTCCCTCCCCTCCCCTCCCACCATTCACATATCCACATTATTCTTCCTTCAAAATAAAAACTTGATCTGCAAAGAAATGCAAGATTCTAGCCTCCCCACTTAGCTTTATGTTTTGTTTTTACTTACCACTCTCACAGGTGGGTAGTGGTGTTGGCCCCCAGGTTTTATTTGCTTGGCACCAAACAGATTTGTTTCCTTTCATGGTGAAGTTGGTATTACAGGTAAATGTCACAGAATCACCATGTCTGTATGGTGGTCTAGATTTTTTATCTCTGTATCCTCCTGGTACTATGGGCTCAGAGCAGAAAGAATTTCTATTATAAAATTCACATACAGGAGCAGCTTTATCCCAGATTCCTTTCACTTGGTCTTTACTTATACAAAAAAGGCTTCTTTCTCCAATGAGGCGGAAGGCACTAAAACAAGAGTACCTTACCACAGTGTTAAGATATATGGGACCAGAAGAATAACTATTCCGACCATTTTTGATAGCAGGAGGAGGGCCACAAGAAATCCCTGAAAAGTAAACAAGGAAATACGTGGTCATACTAATTCTGACAATGAAAAGATTTAAATTTAGATGAAAAGTCCAAAAATAGGTCATGTCACTTTTTCAGAAACAGACTTAGAAATTTGTATCATTTACTTCTTACTCATAGTCTGTCCTTATCCCCAACCTCTCAGGATCTTACCTTTCTCTCCATCTGCAGCAAACAAATCAACTGGTCTATAAACACCATGCTGACCAACAGTAACAATGAAACAGAATTTATCCAATAGTTTAGAGTCTCATCAATTTTTATAGTGAAACAAAAGGCAAAGAGCACATAAGAAGAATCTTAATAATACGTTAATCACATGTGGGTAAACACCACACACTAATGAAATTTGGTTTTAATAGACTTAGTTTTAAATCCCCACTGTCATTCAATAACTGTGTGACTAGGCAAGTCTTACCCTCTCTAAGCCTCAATTTCTTCGTCTATAGCACAATCCAAGCTAGTTCATAAGGTTACAAGAAAAATCCAGTGAGATAAAAGTACCTGAAAATTACAAGAATGATAACTAGAACATGCTAACCATCCAATGCCTGTTTCAAACATACAACTGGGGCTACAAGTGGTGAGAATGCATTTTGTCTTACTACTGAAGATTCTGCAGCCTCTCTGCCAATCCTTAGTTATCCTTTGATGTTGGACCCCTTTGAAAAAGCCCACAAGAAGTGATCAGAGGTTTTGGATAATGACCTCATAGCCTTTATTTACTTGTCCTAATACACATGAAGGATATTGCTACAGCTGTGTTGATGTATGCACATCTTTCCTGAATGAGTCTCAGAATAAAGGGAAAACTTCCAACATCCAGAACATCTGGTTGATTTCCAATGAGCTCCACGAGTTGTTCATCAGTAGAGGAACTGGCATAAGAAGACACAGCCAAACCATTTCAGTACCTCAGTGCTACTCAGTTTCAGTAGGGAGAATGTTGAGAGCATTTATCTTTATAAATATAGAATACTTGATACAGTATATAGTCAATTCAATGAATTGAGTTTTGGTCTGCATCCTAGATCATACAGAAGACTGGCATACATCTATTCAAAGTACAAATAGGAATAAGATGTTATGCATGGGAATACACCAAAAATCAGAGGACAAGATCTGTACTTTATTATTTTTGTTTTCTACTCACGTTCACAGACAGGAAACGTATTATTCCAGAATACTCTCATTCCTTCTGAGACACACTGACTAGAAGATTGGCCACTTAATCGGTACCTTAAATAATAAGGGGTAGCAAATCATCACCAGAACAAATCAATTTTCAGCTGCATGGAATTAATCAGTTCTCTCAAGTATGCAGTATTAATGGCCTCTATTGTTTTTTTGAATCATCTCTGGTTTAAGGAAAAAGTCAAAGATTGTGAATCAGCTCAGCCATGTCATGACTTCAGACCAAGTTAAAAGAAACAAACAAAAAAAGTCCTAATGATAATATTCTCATTTTGAATTCTCCCTTTTCTCTTTGGCATCTAAATGTTAAAATACTCTTTACCATTTAGAAAGAAAAAACCTCAGTTCCTACTGACAGAAACATCAAAGACCTTGTTACCTAAGATACACCACAAAGAACCCCCTCTTACTGAACCCTCATTTTTCTTCCTAATAGGAGCCTTAATTTTTTACCCCAAATTTCGCTTTTTCATACGATGAAAGGACAATTCCCAGCTCTCTCTGGCCATACACAATACTGTTGGACAAAAATCAATAGCATTTGCTTAATATTAGAATTATTAGTCATACAAGGTAAAGAAAATAAGAGGAAAAGTCATAAAGAGAAAAAAAATTAGCTATCTTTAGAGATCATTGTTTGCAATGCTTAGCTATGAGTCATAGGTCTCAGTTCAGGCCCTCTCCCCTCACACTCACCCCTTATCACAAACAAATGAAACCACTGCCCCAAGCTGGAGATTAGGAGGAGTCACCACACGGCCATTGAGAAGTTGGTTTGGAAGGGCATCGCATGATTTTGCTGGGAAAAAAGAGACAAGTCTGGCACATGAGGAGTCAGGAAACAGTTGAGTTTCCTTAAGATGGAATAAAGCTTTAGGCACCTTCACATTCAGGGGCTGCATAGCTCCAAGCTCCCAAGGATGTACACTGGATAGGGTTAGTTCCAATGAGGGTATAGCCAGGGTCACAGCTGTAGGACACTTCCTGTCCAATTGGAAAGAATTCCTTATCCAAGATGTTATAACTACCATGGTTGATATGTGGAGGTGGTAGACACCCTGAGAAGAGAACAAGACCAGAGGTCTTTTATTTCTGAAATAAGAACTTTATCTTCCACAACATAAGCCAAGATGAGGTAGGCAGAGGTGGGATGAAGGTGGTTATGTCAACACTTCTAAGTGTAGGGCAGAGACTGCTTTGGCTGAGGTGGAGGTAAAATGGGACTAACGTGTTACTTTTTTAGATATGATGAACCATGAAACTCTGCTTTCCCTATCTTGATCTATGCTGGGAAACAGGATACCCACTCATCAATTTCCATTCCATTGAACTAAAAAAGGTCTTGGATATTTTCTCATTCATATTGTAGCCAAGGGAACCTAAATATTGTAATACATTTTCACCATCAAAATGTACCTCTTTCTTCCTGCTGCCCCCAAACTAGGTTGATAACATTTCTTGAGTCTTGTGGGAGGGCCTCCCAATGTTGCCAGGTTTTTAGTAAATCAGACATTTCTTAGCAAGAGTAGGATAGAGAGGGAGAATGGGGAAATGACCCAGTCTTAAGTCTAGCCTTATTCCATAAAGGCCACATTTTTCAATATGAGAATGTATAAGGTCTACAATATTTTTAATCAAATTCTGACATCAGCCAATTTCCAATAGGATTGAGAGTTATTTTATCCTTGTTTAAATAAAACTGAATCAAATATACATTTTGGAAAAAAAAAAACCTCTCTTCATTGGTTCTTTCTTTCTTTCTTTCTTTCTTTCTTTCTTTCTTTCTCTCTTTCTTTCAAATGTCTTCTAATTTGCCCTACATTAATGCAGATCTGGTACTGTCCCAGAATATAGTAAATTTCCCACTTCTTCAAAATTTAGATATTACTTTCACAGTTTAGTTTAAAATTCTTTAATCAGCAGACCCAACTACCTATACTGTCTTTCTCCTCATCTTCTATTAAGTGCCATGTATCTGTTTCTCTAAAAGTTTCCTTTTGTTTCTAGATCCTCAAAGTTTCAACACAACTCACCCTTAAAGCACTTTGGCAGTGGAGGATTCCATTTGCTGTTTGATTGGCACCATACTATGTTGCTGCCTTTCATGGTAAAGCCAGGCTTACACCTAAACATCACAGCATCATTTAAAGAAAATGAACGTCCAAATCCAGATTCCATAATTCCATTTTCAACTTCTGGAATTGGACATTTGACTGGAAGAATACACTGAGGGGCAGGGCCACTCCAGATGCCAACTTGATTGTCTTTGCTGGTACAATATATTGACTTCTCACCCACAAGGTCAAACAGCTTTTTTCCATTTGGTCCAGTGTGGCACTTATAAGTCACCACCATTCCATAGAAAAAGTCCTCTCTACTGCTGCTGTAAAAGTCCCCATTGGAGATAGCTGGGGGTGGCCCACAAGGAATAGCTTTTGAGGGGTAGGTGGGAAAAAAGAGAAGGCATTTAAAGGTTATACCTTCTGGGAATTTTGTCTTCACTCTTGCAAACCAAACTTCAACTCAGCCAACAATTAACCCAGATTGTTGAAATTCTGTATCCTCATATTAAAGATGATTCTAAATAGGAAGTATCAAGGTAGAAAGATTCACGGACTAGCCTGATGAAAAGTCAAGAAACTATGATCTGATCACCATTCCTCCCACCCCTCACCCCAAAGTACAGAAAAACGGTTGTGGGAAACACCTAGGGTGGCCAAACATTTTGGATAGAATAAAGATGGCAGTGTGTAATCTCATAACATATTTTAGATTTAAGCACTTGTTCACTATGACATAACTTATCATCAAAGAACAGTAGTCAAAGGAAAGTGTGGTGGGATTGGGAGATGCAGTAGAAGAGAAACCACAGCTCTGTGCCCAGAATGATCCAAACCAAGTATAACTCTCCTGGGTGCTCATTTTGATGTGTAGATGCTCAGTTTCCCTCTAGAATGGGACAAGAGGAGGTACATAGGGTGCAATGAAAGAATCATCTTACTCACATTCACAAAAAGGCATGTCGTTATCCCAGGTTACAGTATTGTCTGAGATAATACATGTAGCAGATGAAACACCAAAAAGTCGATATCTAAAGACAAAGAGATGAGTGATAACCTCCCAGCGAGATGGATATTTTATGAAAACTTAGTTCTTTTTCTACTGAAATGGCAAAGGATAAAATATCATGTATGACAAGTAAAAGATAAAATATCATGTATGACAAGTAAGGCCTCATACAAAAAATTCAATAATCTAAAGCCAAATGAAATTTGGCTCCTGGTCAGGAAGGTTAAAGACTTAAAATCAGAATAGCCAAGATTTCTTTCTCATCTATAGAAGTGGATAATCTTAAAGAGTTATCTCTAGATCAGATCAGGATGGTGATTCTGTTTTTGCTTATCTATTTTTAAGGGTAGGTGGCAATTACGTGGATTTCTTTTGAAGAACTGACAGTTTCTTGTTGAAACCACTGTTCTAATACTCATGTATTCTGGAGATGTCTCCTGCCAACTCACCCTTGATCACAAGAAAATGTAATTGTTGACCCAAGCATGACACCCGTGGGTATGAGGACAGAGCCATGGAGGAGTTCTCCAGGACTTGTACATGATTTACCTATAATGGAGAACAAAACAAAACAGAATTTGGGACTGGAATTTGGGGGATGTTCTGTGTTTTATATTAAAACCAACCTGATTGGACTTGCCAACTAGCCTATTTACACTTAACCAAAACCAATTTTGACATTTACAAAACTTCTATCTTCCAAAGGATCAATCAACTTCAGAACACTATTTGTTTAAAGCATGCACTCTATATTTCTGAGCATGGATGCAAACATTATTAGGGTCAATCATAATTTACAATCTCTATTTCCCCTTTTTATAGTCTGTCAGTTGATGGCATCATTTACCAAGTCTGTGGCTTAAAAAAACCCTCATTGTCATCACTTCCTTTCTATAACTAATCCTCTACCCACCACTCTTCATTCAAGTGGTAACCAAATTTTAGTGACTAGATTCCAGAAATCTCTCTCCAAACCAACTATTTAGTCATTGCTGAAATCTCCGATTGGATCATTGACTAACCAAATTTACTTTTCTAACTTTGGTCTCAGTCGGTCTAGTACATCTTCTATACCACTGCACATAATATATTTCAGAAGCACAAATGTGGCCACGCCTCTTCCTGCATTTAAAAATTTGCAGTGACTTAACCATTATTTATCGGAAGAAAAAATGCATGGCTCATTACAAATAAGCATCAGTCCACTTAATTAACTGCTATTCCCCACCACGCAACTTATACTCCAACCACACTGAATTACTAATTTTTCCAAAGATTCCCTGTTCTTTTGCACTTCTATGCTTTTGAATATGCTGTCTCCTCCACCCATAATGCCTAGATTTCCCTAATTCTCCAAGACAGCCTTTGTTATTTATTTCTCTATGGTCTCATAGAACTTTATCTCTACAAATAAAAGAAATTACATCAGATACAGCATTTACTTAAAAGCCAGTCTTCACAGTGGGTATAGGAGTTCCTCAAAGGCAGAGACTAATTTTTGTGTATCCCCATCCCTATCATCTAGCCTAATGCTTAACACCTAACGGTTACTGAAAAATATTTCTTGAATTGCATGGATAAGAATGAAATGACACCAGTGTTCTTTGTATACTAACTTTTAATTTCACTCTCACATAGTATAGAGACCAAAGAACGAATTTATGGATCTTCAAGTATTAACCAAAGTTCTTATGAATAAAAGAAACATGGAGAACCCAGGAACCCCCTTAATTTAAGATGATTTGCTAATTTGCTGGTCTTTTATATTGAACATGATAAATTAGCTCATAGAGATATGCTGATAAACCCAAAGATGCCTCTTTTACAGATTACTCACGTTTACAGAAATCCTGAGCATCTGACCACTTGGAGGTCTTTAGGCAGGTGATAAAGAATGACCTCTTGATATACCCAGGAAGGCATTCATATTCCCAAGACGTCCCAACAGCAAACTCAGACTGATCACTCTTAATTTTAGGCTTAGCAAAATGATACCTTGGCAGGAGCTTACACTGACCTAGAGACAAAGACCACAGGAATATCAAAACTAGGAGAGACTGAAACTTCTACTCTGCTTCTGTTTTGTCACAAATTACCCTGACAACTTTGATCTTTAGAAAGTAAACCTTAAATGCAGCAATATTTTCTGGGGCAAACAATGGATCTTGCAGTATGGGTACATATACAGAGGTAGAAGTTCAGAAGTTCCAAGACTTTTTAGGATAGACTTAGACGAAGAACTAGAGAAAATACTTTTTTATAAAATTCCATAAAGATTCTGGAGTTTTTCCATCTTCTTACAGGTTCATTACAAAAATCTAAAACCTTATAAATAAAAACCTTCCTGGGATAGCACAGGGAACTAGTACCTTAGAGACCCCTAAGCACGTACATGTATGATCTTCTAAAGTTATTTTAATGAATTCACATTACTCTGTTAATCATTAAATCTTTTGGTCCTAGCAAGATGAAAATATTTTCATTATTCTTCATTATTTTATTCCAATAATCTAGTAGAATCATATGTCCCCCTAAGAGAGCATAATAAATACTTCTGATGGGTACTAGATAAAAGGAACTAGTCAATTTGAGACAGTTCCCTATGATTAATAATATTATTGTTACTATTAATGAATCATATTATACTAGGAGATGAGTAAGAAACTGTAACACCCATATATTTGAGGATGTACCTGGAAAAGTCATTTTTTGGGGCAAAGAGACCTTTGAATAGCAAATTTATAAATCTTTTTCAAACAAGTTTGAGAAAGGTACAGGTGAAAGTCAAAGAATAAACATGAACTAAATGAACAACTACAACACAGAGCTCCGAAAGTTGCATCCAGACTCAGTCTTCCTGTGGTCTGACACTTCTGTTGGAGAAGTCATGGACAGGACCCAAGAATAGCCATCACTGTTGGGACCCAGATATCACTGGTCTTCTTCTATTTCTCACCTCAAGTCCTTTGGTTTTCTTCATTAACCACCACAAACATCTCCAAGTGCATACCTGTACAGAACAGCAAGACTCTAGGGAAAGTAAAGGTTTGACCTCAAAGAAGATCAGTTTCATGACCCTGGCATTACTTGTGCCAATTCCTCTTAGTTAAATGATTTAATCTATAATTACATAATGTGAATAAGGACAACACCAAGTACTTCTCCACAAGCCGGAAGATCAATTTAAATCTGTAATGGTGAGTAACAATGACGGGGACCAAGATGAAATGGAGACCTAAAAGCAGCAAGAGCAGAAGGGTACTTCATAATGTTATCTTCTGAGGTGACATGAGAGGAGAATTATACTTTCTGGATGATAAATAATGGGAAAATCTTATCCCCAATAAGACTTGACACTCTCTCTTTGGGGGGACAATAGTTTTTATTTGTAAAGAATTGTCAAAAATCCAGGTCACAAGAATTTCCAACAGTCGTGTTCTCTTCCATATCAGAGAAAAGGAGGTTAGTCCATGAGCCATTAAGAAATAAATTTTTTCTTAAGGGTCACTGCACCCTCTTCACATCATTCTACAATCAAAAGGAAAAATTAGAGTAGATCCTGACTGTGTCTAAAATAGAAAACAGTGGTAAAACATTAACATGTGCATTTTTCAAACCATGTTAAAAATTGATGAAGTAAAGCAGTTTCTGGAAAACCAGGATGCATTTAACTCTATTTGGGGTTCAAGAGGCTTTACTTGGAATGGCTTAGAAATCCATTTGAAATGAATGAAGAATATATAAGGTAATAAAAACAAAACTGAAACGTCAGAAAGCAGATAGGAGAAAAATTATGATTGAGAATGAGAATTATAATCAAATGCCTTACCACTGGGTTTCCTGGCTATTTGATCATTTTTTGAATGACGGTTACACATTTTAACCAAGGTACTGTCCCAAACACAGGAGTATATTGTGAACATTAGAAACAATGTTTCTACCCTCATGGAATTTATATTCCTATAGTGGGAGACAGGGACAGATAAATACCAATAAATATTATGTAAAGGAAATAACCAGAGTGATGTGTCAAAATCAGGGGGGAGGGAGACATATGACTTCAGCTATTATGGTTGAGGAAGGCCTATGAAGAGGAGACATTTGAGTTGTGACTGAAGGACAGCCAATCAGGTACAGCACTGAGTAAAACATTTTAGGCAGAAGCCTAACAGCAGGGATGGGTTTTCTATGCTTTAGGGATAGACAGAAATCAAGTATGGCTGGAATGTAGTGATCATACCAATGGAGTGGTGGGAGATCAAGTTAGAAAGCTAGCAGGAGGGATCATATTAGATTTCTTAGGCCACACTAAGAAGTCTAAGTGGAAAAGTCACATGGCCTGATTTACCTTTTAAAAAGAATAGTCTGGCAAGTGAGTGAAGAATGCTCTGGATTTTTTTTTTTTTTTAGAAGTAGAAAGTGCAAGTCTGGAGACTATTATAACAGTTCAGACAAAAATGAGGCTTGGACCAAATGCAGACAGTGAGAAGTGGAGGAGTTTGGAATACATTTTAGAAGCAGAAACTTGGGGCGCCTGGATGGCTCAATGGGTTAAAGCCTCTGCCTTCAGCTCAGGTTATGATCCTAGTGTCCAGGGATCGAGCTCTGCATCTGGGATTGAGCTCTGCATTGGGTTCTCTGTTCAGCAGGGAGCCTGCTTCCCCCTCTCTCTCTGCCTTCCTCTCTGCCTACTTGTGATCTCTGTCTGTCAAATATATAAGTAAAAAAAATCTTTAGAAGTAGAAACTTTTTGTTGTATTGGGGGGTGGGATAAGAAAATGGCAGGATTTAGTAACATCTTCTAAGTTACTTATGGTGACTTGAGCTACTTGACTGATGGTAATACCATGTCCTAAAGATGGAAAAGCACCAGTGTGTGTGTGGGGTGTGTGTGTGTGTGTGTGTGTGTGTGTGTATTGGGGTGTGTGCAGAACTGGTTCCATGTTAGAGTTGGTATATTTAACACACTTATTGGGACCCCACATGGACATGCATGAGGGCAGTTGGATGTACAAACTTTCCACTCAGTAGGGAGTTCAAGACTACAGATAATAAATGAGTCATCAACATATAAACAGTATTTAAAACCATGAGATTGGATGAGATCTCTTAGGAAGAAGGTATGGAGAAAAGCAGAAGAGGCCCAGGGCTGAGCGCCAAGACCTTACAACATTTCAGATAGGGCAAAAGAGGCCAAGAGTAATCAGAGAATTACAGAGAAAAAAAAAAAACAGAGGAGAGTGGAAGTCAAATAACAGGAAGCCCTGTTTTGGATGAGGAGAATGAAAATGGTGTTAAGAGAAAGGAAGTAATAAGCTTTTGCCAAAAGACTGAGAAGATAAGGAGAGAAAAAATGACCATTGGATTCGCCAGCATGAAGGTCAGTAGTAACCTTGCTGATAGTAGCTTTAGGAGAATGTGGGGGAGAGAAGCCTGTCTGAGGTGGGTAAAGGAGATAAAGAAATGTGAGCAAGCAGTGAATGAGAAGTTTTGAGAAGAGGGATGAGAAGGAAGAGAAGGGGTCATGAGAAGTCCCCTGACCTGGTCCCATAAAGGATATACTGGAGCATATTTAACTGTTGGTAGGGATGATCCAAGAGAGAGATACAAATGGGTGACAGAAGATGGGATATTTGCAGAAGTCAAGTCCTTGCACAGGCAAGACAGGATGGAATGCAACCATAATTCAGAAGGAGGAGTTGACTGTTGTTGGGAGGAAATATATTTTTTTTCCATTGTTACAGAGCCCCTCATTATGTGCTAGTGTTGAGGGATTCATCAGGCAAGAAGTCAGATAAAGACCTTGCTCTCATGAACTTGTATTCCAATGAGAGAACAAACAACAAAGTAAAAAAATGAACAAGAAGGTCTCATATGATGATAGGTTCTCTGTGGAAAATAAAACACGGTTGTGTGATAGAGTGTGACGAAGGTTCAGACTACTTCCGATGAATCAGAGAAGGGTGGGCAGGGGAGGTGAGACCTGAATGTCAAGGAGACAGGGGAGAGACGGTATGTGGAAAGGGCACTTCAACAAACGGAACCCTTAGTCTAAACAAATATGAGTGTGTTCATGGAACAGCAAGAAGACCAGTGTGGCTGGAGCAGAGGGAGTAAGGGAGGAGAACAGAAAATTTCAGAGAGAGACAGAGACCTATAGTCAAGGTTAAAGAGCATGGATTCTGTTCTAATGTGATGGGAAGCAGTTGGCAGGTTTTAAGCAGGGGAGAGAGCGGATCTGATCTTAGATGAAGGTAGATAACTGGTAAATAAGGGAATTCTTATTTAATGATTTTGTTTTCTTAGGGTAGGATGACATCAGTCTAGGCAAGAGTGAAATTTAAGAATGCAGGAAATTAGAATTGGTATATGCAAATAAACAAAAGGAGAAAAGTGGGAAAACTCTCTAAGAAGAAAATTTGCTTCCTATATGACTTTGCTCATAGCTGTGTACCCTATTGACAGTTGCTTCAGAATCTTCCAGAGTACTTGTTAAACTCAGTTTCCCAGGCCACACCCCAAAGGAGGGAATCTCTGAAGCATGAGACAGAACCCAGGAACTTGGTGCTTTTTAAAAGGCATCTCAATTTCCCAAAAAATTAAAAATAGAACCACCACATAATCCAGCAATTCCACCTCTGGGAATATATTGAAAGGAAATGAAAACACTAACTCAAAAAGAGATCTGTACACACATGTTCTTTGCAGCATTATTTACAGGACATGGAAACCACCTTAGTGTTCATCAATGGATGAAAAGATAAAGAAGCTGTGGTATGTATATGTATAATAGAATATTATTCAGCCATTAAAAATGACAACATGGATATACCTCAAAGGCACTATGATAAGTGAAATAAGTCACACAGAAAGACAAATACTGTACGATCTCACTCATATGTGGTATCTAGAAACAAACAACAATCAAACAAACCAAACACCCAGAACCACACCAAATTCATAAAGAAAGAGATGAGTTTGTGACTACTGGAGGTGTGATGGTGGGAGGGCAAATTGTAGGAAGGTGATCAAAAGGTACAAATTTCTAGTTATAAGATAAATAAGCACAAGGATATGATGTTCACCATGAAGACTAGAGCAAATACTGCTGTAGGATATGGAGGGAAGTTAAGAGAATAGATTCGCAGGATTCTCACCACAAGGAGAATTCTTTCTTTTCTTTTTATTGCATCTAAATGAGAGGACACAGGTTAACCAAACCTACTGGGGTGACCATTTCACCATATATGTAAATGAAATCATTGCGGGTATACACCTTAAACTTACACAGCAATATGTCAATTATTCCTCAATAAAACAATAAAATAAATACATTTTGTAAAAGGTACTTCAAGAGTTAGTTAAGCATCCTTCAAGTCAGGAACTGACCCAGAGTCCAGGGATAGTCTAGGGAGGGTATATAGTAGAAGCAAAAGTCAGGAGGGGTGTGTGGGCAAAGCATGAGCAAAGGACCATGGGGGATAGTCAGGCAAGAAGATGAACAGTGCATTCATGATTAGAAACAGTGGAGAGTTGAGGGGGGGGCATGTTTAGATGGGATCCTACTACAAAAAGCTTGAAAGGCTGAAGACTTAGTTTTTTCTTTTTTTAAAATCCCACAGGCAGTAGGAAGTAAAGGAGTAGTATAATGAAAAAGTATATTTTAAACTTTTGGTTTTCACCATTGGCAAGTTGAAGGCTGGTATCAAGAGTGACACAGGTAATCATAATACTTATAATTAGAATATTGGTGTAAGAATGCTAAGACAAATGACAGAAGCTATGTGACAGCTAATGTGCTGGAACAATTGACAGGTAGACCTGATCATTAAGTGTCTTGGAGTTCAGTGACCAGAGGGCAGCTCGCACTGGTACTGAGAGGGGATGAAGAACTGGGCAGGGCTGGTGATTTTTAATTGATAATATCCAGTAGGAATGGAATACTGATGAGAAGCCAGGTCTGGAACTGTGCCATGCAGATGGGTTAGGGAAAGTTGTGAACATAACGCTTTTTCAAAGGAAGTTAACACATAGGAGAGAGAGAGAGAAAGAAACTAGTCTGGGGAAATGTTCAACTAATAGGGCCAAGAGAAATTTGGAGGCAGGGAGCATACAATTTGCTTCTATTGAAATAGAACCAATGTATCTCTACAATTAAACAGCTGGGGTGATTATACTTAAATGCGGGCTGCAGAGAAGTGGGTCTTCTCTGCAGCCCGCAGAGTCTTAGGACTGATACTTAGTAGTCACAAGTAACACCCAACTTTCATTTGCCTAATTTCATGTCCTATTCAAGGCAGCTCAGGAAGGTGGTAGTGCAGTTTACCACTAGCTTCATTTTACAGAAGAAGAAACTGAGGGTCAGGGAGCTATAAGACTTGCCAAAAGTCACCCAGTTACTGAGGTCTGCAGAGACCTTAACTAGGAATTCGCTGTATTCTGGAGATAATTAGAAAGTCAGATCCACATGTAGCCAAGAGACTCTAATCTTAACAAACTACTATACTTCTGTAAAATTAAGTCACTTGGGGAGGTAGGGTGGGGTGTTAATAAAGCTAGCTTTGCGCGCACACCTGCAGGTTGAATGAGACCTTCTGGAGCCCTTACCATTAAAGGAATAAGAAATACGAAGATGACTGTAGCTTTGATTCACATTACCAACTTTTCTCAATAGCTGCACGTGTTTCTCATTTAGAATCTCTTTACCAGCAACACATCAAATTTCAGAAACCATGAAAACCCCGCGTCGGAACCAGACGTTATTCTTACTGGGGAAGGCAGCGGGAGGTCTTTCACACATCACGGGTTCTGGTTACTTGGCCGGCGTTAGCGCTTACAGACCTCAGGCAGAGAGCGGTGAGCATCTGCTGGGTCCCGGGAGCCGAGAGCCCATGCAGAGCAGAGCGAGTGGCCCCAGCCCGAGAAGGAGCGACCAGAAGATCCTGGGGGTCCCCCAAAGCGAGCGGAAGGCTGTCAAGCATCCAGCACTGATCGGACCTTCTCGCTTATTCACTCTGCTTTGCACCGCCGCAGAGAGGCCGTCCCTGCCCCAGACGTGTCCCTACCTCCCCCTCCCAGCTCACCGAGAACCCCTGGAGCGATGACAGCCAAGAAAACGCAGAGCAGGCCCGCAGCGCCCATGCCCCGGCGGCAGCCCCAGCGGCGGGATGCGTTGCGAGACACTCGAGCCTCGGGCAGCTCCGGGAGAGGAGGGCTGAAGCAGGAGACAGCTGAAAGCCAGGGCACAGGGGCCCTTAAATAGAGCCTGGCACCACGTGCTAGCTTTGCGCGCACACCTGCAGGTTGCCTGGGGCCGGACGCCCGCGCGTGTTAGATCGGCCCGGCCCGGGCTCTGGGGTGCCGGCGGGAGGGGGCGAAGGGGCCAGGGGCAGGGGGGCGGAGCGACTGCGACCCGGTCTTTGGCTCTGGCTCTAGCCCTCAGCGCTGTGGCTTTCCAACTTTTTTTTTTTTCCTTTTTTTTTAACCGCACAATATCCTGCATCCACTTTTGTCTCTCTGGAGAAATGAAACAAGTTTCACAAAATAGTACTCACTCTTGCTAATCTATAATGCCCTCTCCTATTGTTCTATTCAATTCTATACTATGCTATGCCATGCCATGCCATGCCATGCCATTCCATTCCAAAATTCTGGTTTGAATCCAATAAATTCATTTCAAAAGCTATTAATGCTTCAAATCCTCCGTTTAAAGAAACAGTTTACTTAGAAAGGAAACTTATAAATAGCAGCCACCTCTCCTCTTATGCCCTTTTTATTTTGAGGCAATTTCTACAGAATATTTCGAGAATGGTGCAAAGAATTCCCATATATCCATCATCCAGATTACCCAATGTTAACATTTCACTATATTTCCTTTATCATTCTCTCTCTCTTTACATAGACAGAGATAGATAGCTATAGGTGTAATTACCTATACAGAGAGAGATCTAGATATATACACATATACATATATATGATTATATAATTATAATTATATAATTGTTACTTTGGGACTGAGATAAGATAGAGGCATGATACTCTTCTAAATTCTTGGTACATTTCTTTTTTTTTTTTTAAGATTTTATTTATTATTTATTTGACAGGCAGAGATCACAAGTAGGCAGAGAGAGAGAGAGAAGTGGAAGCAGGCTCCCCGCTGAGCAGAGAGCCCGATGCGGGGCTCGATCCCAAGATCCTGGGATCATGACCCGAGCCGAAGGCAGAGGCTTTAACCCACTGAGCCACCCAGGCGCCCCTCTTGGTACATTTCTTAAAAACAAGGACATTCTCTTGCATAACTACAGTACAATGAACAAAAACAGGAAACATTGAAATATTATCTAAGTGACAGGTTATATTCACATATTTCGAATCATCTCAATAATCTTTATTATTGCAATCTCTCTCTCTCACCCTTTCATTTTTCTGGTCCAGGATCATTCAAGGATCACACACTACATTTGATTATTATGTCTTTTCTTCCTCATTTACCTGGAAAAGATCCTGGTCTTTTTTATGTTTTTCATGACCTTGACATTTTTGAAGAGTACGCAGAAAGTGTTTTTATAGAATGACTTTTAAATTAGTTATCTCTTGCATAGTAAAAAATTACCCTAAACTTATTGATTTAAAGCAAGAATAAGTATTCATTATCTCACACTGTTTCTGTGTGTCAGGAACTCAAGAGCAGCTTAGCTAGGGGGTTCTGGTTTGGGCTTTCTTGAGGTTGCATTCCAAACATCAGCCAGAAGTGCAGTTATCTGAAGGCTAGATTGGGACTGGAGGATCTCCACCCAAGAGGGCTCAGTCATGGCTGTTGACTGCAGCACTCAAAGCCCCAAAATGTAGACCTCATCATAAGACTATTTGAGTCTCCTGGTGACATGGCAGCTGGCATTTCCCAGAAAAAGAGAGAAAGGCAGAAGCCACAATGTCTTTAATAATCTATTCTCTGAAGTCACACTATGTTATTTTTACAATATCCTATTGGATACTGTGATGGTTAATTTTATGTGTCAACTTGACTGGGCTGTAGGATGCTCAGATATATAGTCAAACACTATTTCGAATCTTTCTATATGGGTGTTCTGGATGAAATTAACATTTTTTAGAGTAGTAACTGATATATTTATTTTTATTCTTCCCATTTTATTTTTTCCCCAGTTTTACTGAGATATAATTGACAGTTAAGGTATATAACATAATGATTTGCTAATGATTACCCTAGTTAACTACCATCCCCTATATAGTTATGATTTTTTCCTTATGATAAGAACTTCTAAGATCTACTCTTTTAGATACTTTTTAATACACAATACAGTATTGTTAACTATAGTCACTATGCTGTACATTATATCCCCAGAATTTATCTTCTAACAGGAAGTTTGTGCCTTTTGATCATCTTCACCCATTTTCTGCACTTCCTGCCTTTGCCACCTCCGGCAATCACTAGTCTGTTCTCTGTTTCTACAGGTCAATTTTTTTAGATTTCACATATAAATGAGATCACATAGGATTTGTCTTTCTCTGTATGACTTATTTCACTTAACATAATGCCCTCAAGGTCTATCTATGTTGTTATGAGTGGCAAGATTGTATTCTTTTATATGGCTGAGTAATATAATACATATACTGGAATATTCAAATATATTGCAGTAATATTCATATAGATGTAGTATTCATATATATTTGCATATATGTATATGTATCTATATATCTATATCCTCTTTTTAAAAGATTTTATTTTTTTATTTGACAGACAGAGAAAGAGAGAGCACAAGCAGGGCAGTGGCAGGCATAGGGAGAGGGAGAAGCAGGCTCTCTGCAGAGCAGGGGAAGCCCGAATGTGGGACTCCATCCCACGACCCCAGGATCATGACCTGAGCCGAAGCTGGTTGCTTAACCAATGGAGCCACCCAGGCACCCTCTCCCTCTCCTTTTGCCTCGCCCCCAACACGTGCTCTTTCTCTAAATAAATAAATAAATAAATAAATAATGTTTATATATATTTATAATATTTCTGGGAATTTTCAGTTTGTTCTCTATAGTTAAGAGTCTCTTTCTTGGTTTGCCTCTCTCTTTCTCTTTTTCCCCTTTGTTCCTTTGTTTTGTTTCTCAAATTCCACACATGAGTGAAGTCATATGATATTTGTCTTTCTCCAACTGACTTATTTTGCTTAGCATAATACTCTTTAGCCCATCCTTTTTTATTTTTTAATTTTTGCAAAAAAAATTTGCAAAACTTTAAAATTTTGCCTTACCATAACTCCAAATGTCAGAATTATGTAAAAAGGTATGATAGAGAAATGTCACTTCTATCACTTCTACTCTCACCCCTTTCCTTTCAAATCCATTTCCATAGTTTCTGGCTTATGTGTCTTCTTCAACTTTGCCCAAATAAGACACATGTACATCTTCTTATTTATCTTTCCTTATTACATAAAAAGAAAGCATGCTCTGGGTCCTTATTTTGCACCTTGCTTTTTTTTTTAACTTAATAGATATGCTGGAATTCACCCATATAAGCTCAGAGATATTCCTCCTTTATTTACAGCTTATAGTGTCTCATTATGTGGATCTACAATAATATATTTAACCATTTTCCTATATATGGGCATATAAGTTGTACTTAATATTTCGCAATTCTATGCAGTGATGTAAGGAATAACTTTGTGCATAATTATTTTTAAGTGTTGAAAGTATATCTTCAGCACAAATTCTTAAAAGTATGATTCTTGATTTAAAAGGAAAATACATATTTAGTTTTGTTATATATTACCAAGTTCCCTCACTAAGAGTTATATCCATTTCCACTCCTACCTGGAATATATGAGAGCATCTCTTTTCACAGACTCTTGTTAATCAAATGTGTTATCATTATAGTTTTTAATTTTAGCCAATCTAATAGGTGAGATATTGTATATCTATGTACTTTTGATGTGCATCTCTCTTATTCTGAGTGAGCTTGAACATATAAATAGGCTTAATCACCATTTTTAAATTCTTTCGTGAATTCTCGGTTCATCTTTTAAAAATTTTCTACCATTTATAGATAGAATATGTTTGGAATGACACAAAGGAAGCTATCAATGTTTGTAGCCTCTGTAGGGATTTTGAGAGACAGAATGAAATAATTTCTATTGTATATTGTTTTTCTTTCTTTTTTTTTTCTTTTTTAATGTGCAGGTCTTCTCTACCAAAAAAAAAAAAAATTTTAAAAATCTAAAGGACATTGTATTGCCAAAGTAAGTGTAATGATTTACAGGGTTAATATAAAAAATGAGTAGGTTATTATCAAACTTATAATTAAATAAATAATGATATTTAAAAAAAATTTCTACCATTTTTGCAAATATTTTCTTCTAGTCAGTTATTTTTTTAATATATTTTTATTTATTTCTCCAAATTTTTAAAAAATTCTAGTTAGTTAACATACAGTGCAATATTGGTTTCAGGATTAGAATTCGGTCATTCATCACTTACAGACAACACCCAATGCTCATCAAAACAAGTGTTCTCCTTCTTACCCATTGCCCACCTAGCCCATCCCCACCCACATATCCCTCCATCAACCCTCAGTTTGTTCTCTATCATTAGGAGTCTCTTATGGCTTTTTTCCCTCCTCTCTCTCTCTCTTTTTGCCTCCTTTCCATGTTTCTGTTTTGTTTCTTAAATTCCACATGTGAGTGAAATCATATAGTATTTGTGTTTGTCTCTGTCTTACTTATTTCACTTAGCATAGAACACTCTAGCACCATCCACATGGTTGCAAATGGCAAGGTTTCATTCTTTTTGATGGCCGAGTAGTATTCACATATATATGTGAATACATATGAATATGCATATGAATATTCTGTAATATTCATATATTCATATTAAAATATGTTATAATATATATGTTATGTATGAATATACACACATACATACATATGTATCATATTATACATCACAACATATATACCCTACTTATACATACATATATATCATATCTTCTTTATCCATTTATCAGTCAATGGACATTTGGACTCTTTCCACAGTTTGGCTATTACTGATAATGCTGCTATCAATAGTGGGTGCATATTCCCCTTTGAATCTGTATTTTTGTATCCTTTGTGTAAGTATCTAATAGTGTAATTGCTGGATTGTAGAACAGTTCTAGTTTTAGGTGTTTGAGGAACCTCCATACCGTTTTCCAGAGTGACGGCACCAGTTTGCATCCCTACCAACAGTGCAAGACATTTCCCCTTTCTCTGCACCCTTGCC